CCATGGGATTTTTCAGCCTTACAACCGATTTGCAAGTTGTCCTTAGGGAACCGACTCAGCTGGTACACTTGAGAATCATCTGTTAGCTCTTGAATGTGTATGCCAACTAGGCAAGTTGCACGAGCACCTCCTGTTGATGACACAAAGACCATTCTTGCTCCTCATCTACCTCACCTAATACAATGATCATTGTGCTACCTCTAGGCATCGAAGGCCCCGCGTCGTCCGTTCTGCAACCCGCTACCAGCAGCAAAGACTCATTTCCACTTGCATCAGACAAAGAAGGAAGAGCCAGGATTGCTTTTAGTAGACAAACTACCAGACTTTGTCTGTTCATCTGCATCCAAAAATGAAGTCTCAATATCAATTACTCAATCATTATAAGGCTCAAGAAATTTTTTAGCGACCAAGAAGACGTCGAGCTTACCTTTCAACATTTCCTCAAGAAACTCAGGCGAAGTACTTCGTTTGACATCAATCTCTATCGACTATGAGGCTTTATATCTGATGGTATTATGCCTTCTGCTTGCATAGACTGATTACTGTCAGATTAGCGGGAGCTCACACTTCATCAGCAAGCGTAAATGTTTCCCCAGAAACCAAAGCAGTGTCTCCCTCCAAAGGGTAGTAAGTAGAAGCTATAGCCAATGTCAGAAACGGTTCCACATCGACAGTTTCCTGCTCAGGGCCATGTACTTCTCATTTTATAGCAAGAAAAAAAGAGATCATAGTTGGCCATGAAAGATGACTAGGCCTTACCAGAAGATATTATGTTACCTTTTGAAGACAGATCAATACTACAATTATTATGAGCCTCTCTTGCCTGCAAATGTTCTTCGATACATTCATCTTCAACCCCAACAGGACCATCGAATACAGCAGCTTAGTAAACTCACTGGCCAACCAGCATATATATATATACGAGCACATATATATATATATATATATATATATATATATATATTGGAGCAGGACAAGAAAATATCACATTGAAATTTATTAAACCTTTTAGATCTTGATCTATTTTGAAATAAGATAACCTTACCGCCCGAGCTAAGTTGAGGAGGTGTCATGATGTTGGTTTCCTTCAGCTCACCATACAAGTCAAAAGATTGATCTTCCGTTGGATCATTCAAACCAAGGGCATCTCCCTACAGACCAACCTCTGATACAAGTGTTTTCGCCACATCCTTCGAACCATCTTCTCTCATCTCACTTAAAAAGGGATCCTTAATATAAACATCTTCCACGGGGAGCTCAAGAAGAATCATCTCTTCAACTCTACTCCCTCACCTGACATTGATACGCTCCTCCCTCGACTCATCCTCTTCAAACACAGTATCCCATCTTTTGTGAATGTTGACCGCCAATATCGACTCTATTGAAACATTTATCTTCGACACAATGAGCTTCCTCATTGTAGAAGATCAAAAGATAGAGACCTCGAATCAAAAATGAGGAGCATCTTTTTTGATATAATACATCCACAAATTTCGCACAACGCACTTATAACCTCATCAAGGAGTTAAAACTTGACAAGATTAAATAACTACTAAAGTTAAGGATCTTAAAAGTTTATAATTTATTTCCTTTTTCTTGACAGGATAACAATGCTTTCCATCGAGAATCCAGAGCTCACATCCTGATATGATTTCAAATCATACGATAGTTATTCCCTGACAAAAATATCAATCATAATGAATATGTAACGTCAGCAACCCCCTCAACACAGGGAAGTTATCTAATTTTGATTATATTTCTTACATAAGCCATAATATCCAAATTGAGCGAGAAGGCTGAAAACTGCAAAACCTATTAGTTCATGACTAATCTTCATAGAAGGGCAAAAGTACCCAAACAAAGAACAATATGACCACTCCACTGAGACTCAAAAGACAATTCCCTTAAGGATAACTAAGGCCCCGAGGTAAAGGACAATCTAAATTCGACAGTGGGAAAAAAAAAAGACTACACCTGCAAGCGAATTACAATGCCTAAGATAGTAAAAAGCAGAACTCGATACGGTAAGCCTCAAGCCTCGACTAACTTTAGATTGGGATATTAACAGAATCATCCTAGAGCACAATTTGTGATTGTTGCAGATACCTCGATAGCATCCCATGATCCGACTCTCAAAGAACACCAAAAACTTATAAAAAAAACTATCATACATCCTAAGCAATTACACGTCATGAAAAGAGTGCATTCAATAACTGTGACATGAGAAACAAATATATTTTATTCTCTCATTCTTCTTGCAGTAACCTGTCGAAACAATAAGAGAATCAGAAGATGTCTAGCAAGCATCATGACACTAATAAGCCCATCTACTCAGAAGTTACAACCACTATTGGAATAATCTGCTGAGGTGATCTACTAACCTCGCTCGCCAATATGTAAGCGATCTAATACCAACTATTGAGCTGACCTGCCCAACCAACCCGATGGACAAACCCATCGAACTGGTCTGGCAGATTGACATCTGCATTCAACTACCAGATTGACCAATCATATTCATCTATCGAGTTTGTCTCAAAAATGATCCATGTAATTGATAGAAAGCAAAAAGTCAAGGTTGATATCGAGGATTGACATATGACACATCCTCATTTATGAGCCGCCTGACATCTACGTCGGGATCTTTTCATTGAGACACCATGAACTAACTGATACACCATGGATTATCTTTTAATATTATTTTCATAAACATGTATAAATAGAGGAAAAAGAGATCCCGAGAGGACCCTGTTCCTGGCCTTTTGGGGGAGATCTCACGCTACAACCCGGGATGTCTCCCTACCTCTTGTTGATTCTCTTCAACTTGTTAGATCACCTCCTCCGCTCCTTCGGAGGAAGGGTCATCGTAAAAGCGTATAGTTCAAGCTTCGAGAACATACACACTCTCCTTCACCCTCTTTACACAGGTTTCTCTTGGGTTATATTTACTCACAAATAATACAAGACCCCACATCCTAAAAGAATTCAACAAATATGTTATCTCAAAGATGACCTCTTTTATCACTCTCAATAAGTAAAATATTATCAACATAAAAATACAATACAACCATCTCTAATGGTGCATGCTTAGCGAAGATGGAATGATCTATAGTGATACTAAGAAAACTAATCTAAAAAAAGAACAAGAATTTTCAAACTAAGATTGTAGGCTTAGTTTAAGCTCATAGATGACCTTCCCAAGTAAAATATAATTTTCCTCCTGAGCAGCATATCAAAGTGACTACTTCATATATATTACGTCACTAAGATCGCAACAGAAGAAGTATTGCTTACATCCATTCATAGAATGATGATAAAAAATAAATCCATTTTAGTTAAGCCTGGCAAGCAATGATAATGTGCCAATGGTAAATCCATAGATCCGTGCAACCAACAGTGCTTTGCACTGAGAGTTCAATACATCAGAATAAAATTTGACATTTAATACCCATCGATAAATAATTGATTTAAGCACAATATCAATAGCTTATTTCCCTAAATGATTCTATAGTGCTTCCTGATACTTAAAACCTGATAAAGATGAAAGGCAAATGAATGAGACTAAACGGGATAAATGATAAAATAAAATATAAGAGGGAATGAGATAAATGAACGTTCGTGTTTATTACCTTCACATATGATAATTGGCAATGAAGATCAAATACTTTATTAACAAGAGAATGCTCGGTCAAATCTAATAAAGAAAGGAGGTATTGTTGTGATAGATGGTCAAGGTCTCTGTAAGTAAATTTTTAGAGAAGCGGATAGTAGCATAGGAGCTTGTGAAAGAAGAGCTAGTCACACTGAAGGGTATGGGTGAGGAGGGAGAAAAGAAATTAGTGTTCATTGATCAAAGTATACAAGCATTGGGTAAGAGATTATAATATCCATATCCATTTTTAGTACAATACTTATTTAGATGTATAGGTTGAATGGTGCAAGGAGAAAGCTTGTTCTGTAAGCGCAAAGAATGAACAAAAAGGACAACCAAATACGCTGGATGCACAAAGCAATGCAATCTGGCCAAAATAAAGTGTGAATACGGATGAATGCATATTGAAAAGAGTAAAAGGGACTCTATGGCACATGTTTAGAGGTCAAAAGCTTCCTTCATCACTTTCATAAGATTGAATCCGTTATACTGTCAAATGCTCCTTTGCAATCATTTGGCTTCACCTTAGCCTTTAGAGTTTCATTAAAACACTTCATAAGACAAAAATAAACGTGTTGTAAAGATGTTGTAAACATACAGGTATTCAAGCAGATAACAAGGTTCTGAACTTCATGCTAAAGGAACAACGGAACTTGTATTACGAATTTAATCGAATAAGAAAACGAGAGTTTCGCTAGAAATCCTTATTTGTGGACTTTGGAAAATCAAAACAGCTTAATTATGAACAAGTGTTGCACAGTAATGTATTCCTACTACTCTGGAATATTAATTATATAAACCTAGGAGAGAAAAATGCAGCTTAAACACAAAGAAATCCTGAACAATACAAATAAGAAAGATTTACATACATACCACTCAATTCATCTGCATTTATATATCTAACAGCTAAATTTCAATACATAGATATCACCTTTCCTATCAATGAAAAGGCGTTATTCACCATATAAAAGTTAAAAAAGTGGTATTTTTTAATGTGATATGAAAGATTTGTGTGGTATAAATTTAAAAAAAGTAAAATTTAGGTGTTAGATATGTAAATACATAAGAAATTGGTGCTATGTATGTAAAAGCCCCTACATATAACCTTATAAATGTCCTGGGTTCAACCTACTTTTGAGTTAAAGGAACAATCAAAGTTAATTCAATTAATAAAACAAAAAGTACCGATAAAACTTCTGTAGTGGCAAAACATCATGAAAGAATGAACTAAATAGTTAAGATGGTCAAATTTGTGCGCCAATGTTGAGAAGTGCCTAATATATATTCTCCGCATAGTACTTGTTAAAAGTACTTCTAAGCTTAAACTAATAATATAAAAAATCTATATTACCTCATATGAACCATATCCATAAAGTAACAAAGGATCAGATCCATCAAGCTTCGCAAGGTTTTTATTGTATAGAACTGAAATAGGGATCTTGGTGCCATCAGAAGCGACAGCCCATTCTCTTTTGGTCACATAATTAGATGATTCAAAGCCACCTAATACCTGCATAAAACTGAAAAATGTCATTACAATTCTCAGTAAATTTTGAATGAATTTCAGCCAAAAATATATCAAAACAAAAAATTAATCTGACCAATGAATCGAAAGTAAAGAAACTACACATATCGTTACTTTACACTAATTGCTGGTAATGATACTTGTATAAACACTAATCGCTAGAAGTGATACACGTATACCATCATTATTTACCTTAACCAACCATATGGGTCGGCTCAATGAATCATTATGTAGCATTTTTTATGAAGAAAGACATTTTCATAAAACTAATCATTTATCGACTTTCTTGCCCAAATCAATACGGTAGATCAGCTTACAAACTAAGGAGTGCTCATAGATTAAACTGCTGGAAAATGGAAAATTATTTTAGGGAAGTTTTAATTTAAGAAAGTTTAAATTTAACAATGTAATAAATCCCTTGATACGAGGATCCAATTTAGGAATAGAATAATTTCCTTGGTGTGGGATCTAGTTTAAGACCAAAATAAATCCATTGATATTAGGATCCAATTTAGGAAAAGATTTTTTTAGTTTTATTGTTTTCTTTTTCCCTAATTTTTATAAATATTTATTGTACAATGTATATATATTAGTTAGAGTGCTTGATGAAAAAAGAAATATGAATTTCTTTCCGCATTTTTTGTCATGATATCAGAGCTTCAGGTTTCCACACCTCTAGTACTTTTTATACCTTCATTGCTGACTTATTGTTGGCCTTCATTGCCAACGTTCTTTTTCTCTTCTTCGTGTGGTGACATCGCAATTGCTATTTTTACAAATACGTGATTCTGAGATTGTTAAAACAAACAACTCTTTTTCAATCTGATAAAGGAGTGCCAAAAACACATCTTCTCCGGGTTAACTGCAGAATATACACAACTCTTATAGACTCAACGGTCAAAACTACCTAAAATAGTCCCGGTTAGCCCGTACTCATCTAAGAGGCAAAGCAAAAATTTAGCATCATCTTGGCGCGGCACCAGAATAGGCTGATCCGAATTTTGATACATGGGATGAAAAGGACTTCAAGATTATGTCATGGCCATGGAGTTCAATGACTCCATAAATCAATGATACATGTATGTTTTTTACCTCTACAAAAGATATTTAGGGTGCCCTTCACCAAAAATATTCAAAGGCCAAAAATGTTGCCCGTGTGTATAAAGTTAAAGTAAAGACTGTTGCTGCAAAAAAAATATGTTGCAAAATCTATAGCATGAACTTGATTGTTATAGAGTTCTTGAGACAATGTGCTCTGAGGATGTCGTGGTTTTGAAGAAATTTAGGAGGTGTTTGGTAGCGCCATATTAACAGGATTTGTTGGTCGGAATTTTTAACTCCAGCCAAGCATAAAAAAATGTAAGTTCCATGGATTTATGATACTTTGGATTTCTGATTTGAATTTTGTCTTTGATTCATGTTAAATCAGGATTTAGTAAATCCAACAAGGAGGTGGATTTAACAAATTACTAAATCCTACTAAAGTTAAATCCTTGTTGCAACTAAACTATCACGACCGGCCGAGGGCTTGGAGTTAACCAAAACGGAACGAACAGTCGAACCTTTCTATTTGCTGTTCTCGTCTTTTATACAAATTTGTTCATCTTCTATTCATCTTGCTCAAAAGTTTAAAATCTAAAAGTAATATTAAAGCAACATAATGAGTTATCTAAAAATAACCCAGGAGTAATCAAACTTCTACATTACAGTAATCCATGGAAAATAATTCAATATGCATGCGGGTCTATAAGAAATCGAATAATATACTGGCGTTTGATACACCAAAAATATATGCATTTTTAGACCCATATTTTATACTCCATTTTGGTGATATTACACTTTAATGAAAGGTATTTTTATGTTTTCTTGCAGGTTGTTGAATTTTAGGACTTAAAGCAAAAAGGAAGCAAAAATGATGAAATTTGGAGCAAAAATAAAGATGTTAAAATTTGTTCAGCGAAGACGACGTCAGAAGCAGCGCTGACGGCGCTGTTTGACAGAGAGGACAAATTAAGTTGCGGGACACTGGCGCTGACGGCGCCAGAATGAACGCTGACGACGCCAATGTCGGTTCAGCCACGATTTCTGGAAGATTCGACGAATCTGGACTCATTTTGAAGAGTTTTTGGAGGCACCTATTGGAGAACCGACACTAGGCTTTATTTGGGTCCGAAATTGATAAAAAAAAGAGACTCTTCCTGACATTTTATCCCCTCCATTCAACCTTCTACACATAACACATTCCTCAACCATTTAGAGTTCATTGTTCTTATAATTTAAAGTTTTGTGGTGAGATTAAATGTGAATTCTTCTCTAAGAGTGTTGTAGAATGTGAAAAGTGAGAAATTTCTTCTTCCTTCATTTCTTAGAAGAGGCTAAAAGTGATTTGCTTTGAGAAAGAGTTTCAGATAACTTTTGTTTGTTTATTAGTGTTGTATGAATTTTCTTTTATATATGAAATTTGTGTTTTGTTGTATATTTATCATGAGCTCTGAGTAGTTTACATTATCTTTCTCCCTACTCTGAGATATGGTGAAATGAAGAGATAATATGGATGTGTCAATATTAAAATATAAAATAAATTGTGATGATTTTTCAACACCGAACTTAATTTACTTTTCGATCTGACCAATTGAATTGTTAAAATATATTGTGAAATATATGATCCGGGAAATGGAGTATGAGTTCTAAGTGAGGATCACATTTGATTCCATGAAGGAGAACAATTAAGTGCAAATAAAT